GGAGGGACCCCTGAGGGGTGGGAGCGGGCCCTGAGGAGGCCCTGAGCAGGCCCTGAGGGGTGGGAGTGGGCCCTGAGGAGGGGGAATGTGGGGTGTGAGGAGGACTGGGGCTTCTGTCGAGGAAAGGGTGTAGGAGCAGGAGGGCCTGGGGCAGGGGGAGCCAGCCTGTGAGTACCTCCAGAGACCCTGCACCCCCTAGGCAGCCTTGCACCCCCGCTGCACTAGAGAAGCAGGGTGAACCCCTGCCTGTGGTGTTTGCAGGGGCTTGGGGTGCCAGGACTGCCCTGCGGAGATGACTGCAGCCTCATCTCACCCGACCTCTTACTGGAGACGCTGCTCGCCTCAGTCCACGTCGCTGTAGTCGACCTCCCGTAGCGTCACCAACAGCCGCTCTCATCAGCAGAGCGTCGCGGGGGGTTGAACTGAGGAGGGAGCAAGAAACCCAGAAGAGATTTTCAAGAACTCCCTAAGAGGGAGTTACAGCTGTTAGCAGGAGGAGAAGCCTGGCGTGGGGCTGTATCTCTCTCCCTGCAGGCAGCAACTGGGCTGTAGCCTCTCACCTCTGCGACCCATTGATGTGGCCACAAAACGCTGCGGTCGAAGCCACCTGGGCCTTCCAGGAGCTGCGGGTACGGAGCCCGTCCCTTCCCAGCTCTGGCTGAGGTGGAGCAGGGCGGCCACGCAAGCGTGAATGCAGCCTGCGGGGACGCAAGCCTCCGAGCCTGCTCCTGGAGAGGGGAGTGCGCCCCGAGGACGGTCATGGAGAAGATGGCCAGGGTCACCACTGCCCTGGGGGGCAACGCCCTCACGGGACGGACCATGTTCTGCCACCTGGACGCCCCTGCCAATGCCATCAGCGTGTGCCGTGATGCCGCCCAGGTGGTGGTGGCCGGCCGCAACATCTTCAAGATCTACTCCATCGAGGAGGACCAGTTTGTGGAGAAGCTGAACCTCCGCGTTGGCCGCAAACCCTCCTTGAACTTCAGCTGCGCGGACGTGGTGTGGCACCAGATGGATGAGAACCTGCTGGCCACTGCTGCCACCAACGGTGTGGTGGTCACCTGGAACCTGGGCAAGCCGTCCCGCAACAAGCAGGACCAGCTCTTCACCGAGCACAAGCGCACTGTCAATAAGGTCTGCTTCCACCCCACCGAGGTCTACATGCTCCTCAGCGGCTCCCAGGATGGCTACATGAAATGCTTCGACCTGCGCAAGAAGGACTCTGTCAGCACCTTCTCTGGTACGAACATGAGCTGTTGCTCGCCCCCTTACCCTGGTGAGAGGCAGAGGCTGGGGCTTTGCCCTTTCCCTGTGCCCAGGAGGAGGGTTTGCTTGGAACGCCATGTCTGGAGCAGGCAGGGAGGGAGCCGAGAGGTGTTTCGGTGCTTTTTTTGTGCCACTCAGCAGCGGGCTGGGTCTGCACAGGACGAGGAAGGTGGCCGCATCACTCCCTGCATCCCCTTCTCTCTGGGCTGGGGGGATTGTTAGCTTTGCTGCAGCTCTGTCCCACCGGATCTCAACTTCTGTCCCTGCACAGGTCAGTCGGAGAGCGTGCGTGATGTCCAGTTTAGCATCCGGGACTACTTCACCTTCGCCGCCACCTTTGAGAACGGAAACGTGCAGCTGTGGGACATCCGCCGGCCGGACCGCTACGAGAGGATGTTCACGGCCCACAACGGGCCTGTGTTCTGCTGCGACTGGCACCCGGAGGACAGGTGTGTGCGGGGCCGGACCCTGCCAGCTGCCCGGCCTTGGCAGAGACGAGGGAGGCCCTAAAAATGGTGTTGGGACCTTTCAGGGGGGAGAAAGAGGGGTCTCTGTTACTCTGGCCCCTTGTTTCAGGGGCTGGGCCGTTGCTGGAAGATGGGAGCAAATTATTAATTTGAGGGTTGGGGGGGGGGGGTAGGGGGG